CTGGGAGGAAAAAGAATAATAAAAAAAATAAAGAACAATAACAAAAAAATAAAATCTGTATTGTGTTTATGCTGCATTAAAGTTTCACCTGACAATTAATTAAGTAATAGCAAATTAAAAGGCCAAAATATGGTTGATATTTTACATCCATCTAAACGAAAACATGAATTCAGGAAGATACACTTTATTTAAGTGAATATGGCACCTGTGAAATAAAACAATGCATTCCCTAATGACACATGCATCAACAGAGAGAATAAAACTATTTACCTGCTAAAATAAAATACTGCAAACACCTCTGGAAGAAAGAGGGCAACTCTGCCAGAAAAGTCTTGGAATTTTTGTCAGTATTACCTCTAAGATTGGTAGCAATCCTTTACCCTAGTTGTAGAGGCTATCTGAAAGGAGGATGGAGCCGGGTGGTGATCGACCTCTTCTCCCAAGGGACAGCAACAGGACAAGAGAACATGGCCTCAAGCTGTGCCAGGGGAGGTTCAGGTTTGACATCAGGACCAATTTCTTAATGGAAAGGACTGTTAACCATTAGAATGGACTGCCCAAGGAAGGGGTGAAGTCACTGGCCCTGAAGGTGATCAATAAATGACTGGTTTTGGCACTTTGGGCCATGGTCTGGTTGACAAGGTAGTGATTGGTCAAAGGCTGTATTTGATGATCTCAGGGGTCTTTTCCAACCTTTATAATTCTAAAGTTTTTCTAGTGATCAACTGAAAAGAATAATTACAATTTACAAAGAAAACCCTAGACGTGGGAGACAGGATTGAGCTGTACATCCATTCATAGGATAAAACCACCGTGGTTTTTCACAAGTGTGAGTAAGGAACACTAAGATGAGGAAATTCAGGGCTACTTGTGACTTTCCTAAGGGGCCATGGACAGTATCAAACACCACTGGTTCTTCCACCTGACATCCATGCTGCAGAAACCCCTTCCCAACAACAGGATGCATTTGCACAGCTACATGGAGGCAACAAAACTCGTATTTTGTAATACATAAAATTTAACATTTTAAGCAGATCCAGTTTTACTCTTTGAATTAAAGTAGTGAAGAATTATGGACCTTCCCCAGGAAACAACTGAGTGAAGATCCTTCCCTCAACCATGACCCATTAACATGGGTAGGACTCCAAGCATGGCCACCACAGGTTCCTCAGTCTAATGAGCTGCCTATACCTCAAATTAATTTACCCACATATTATTTACTCACACGCCTTTCTTCAGTGAGATTATGTTTCTCCCAGGTAAGTAGAGACATCTAAATTTTTTATTTCCTTTTAATTTCTAAATGTTTACAGACTGTAGCTAATGCATTAAACCATTTACTAAAGCCAACACTTGCTCCACTTTATCAACCTCCTCAACAGTTATTCAAGTTTTACTCCACCACAGCTCCTTTCTGGGCTGAGAACAAACCACTCCCTTCCCTCTCTGTCAAAACAAATACTCCTGAAAATGAGGATCAGTCACCTCACCCTGCAATGGAGCACCTTTGACTGTAAACCTACCCTTTTTCTTCAAAATCACTACTGCAATACAAACACACACAGGCTATGTGAGCTTTACTGCAGTTGTGCTCTTGACTAATCGCTTTGAGGATTTTCCTTCAAACCCCTAAATCTCCTTTCCCAAGTCAGTATGCTGCATAACTACTCCATGTAATGTGTATTCTTTGATTTGGCTCGCTGTTCCTTGGCATATAATTTCTGTTTTATCTACAAAAAGCTGCATTTTCAAGCCACTGTCTAAACCACCTTTGAGATCTGCTTTTCTTCCTACTGCTCAACATCACTTTTTGGAGCTGCTCTGGAGATACAACCAGAAAAAGTTCAGTCACATTAAAAATCCTCATCCAAATCCATTACCTGTGTTACAGACATGTCGGGTTCCAAATGAGCCTGAATTAAACCAGTCCCATCTCACCACCTTAGCCAGCCTCAGATTCTCTGAGTTTAGAAGTACAAATTCAGTATGGCTATATTCCATACACAGAACCCTACAACTGAGGTATGGTTTGGGTTGGAAGGGACCTTAAAAACCATCTCATTCCAAGCCCCCTGTCATGGGCAGGGACATCTTCCACTATCCCAAGTTTCTCCAAGCCCCATCCAACCTGGCCTTGGACACTCACAGGGATCCAGGGGCAGCTACAGCTGCTCTGGGCAACCTCTGCTAGGGCCTCACCATCCTCACAGGGAACAATTCCTTCCCAATCCCCCATCTGTCCCTGCCCTCTGCCAGCTGAAGCCATTCCCTGAGCCCAGTCCCTCCATCCCTTGTCCAAAGTCTCTCTCTAGCTCTCCTGAAGGCCCTTTAGGCACTGGAAAGGGCTCTAAGGTCCCCATGGAGCCTTCTCTTCTCCAGGCTACACAATCCCAATTCCCTCAGCCTTTGGTCACAGAACTAAAACTGGCTGCTGGTGGCTCCTCTGAAGCACAGACACAGCCCTGTCAGGATGTACTTTTAAATATTTACACATGGGAAAAGCTGAAGGAGAAACAGGTTAAGGAATTTTTCCTAAACTACCACGTTGTGACTGCATTGAAATGACTGATTTACCAACCCAAATTTAACTAAGATATTTTGAAAAATTACTGCTGTTAAGACAAATTGCTTGAGGTGTGAGAGGTCAGGCTACCTATGCAGGCTGTATCCCCCTGCCTGTCTTTAATCTCCTGGCCAACCATCCACCCACTGCACTATTTCTGTTTCTGAACAGGTTTCCTCCTTAGTTTTCAACCCTTATAAATCTGATCTGTCATTGTAGAATTCCTAATAATACTAGATAAAACTCCACCAATTTCTCTCTGGAATATACTCTTTAATATCTTTTATTTAAGACATGTGTGTGCAATCAATTCCATGGTATTTACTTGTATTACACACATAATATTCATCATCTTGACAATTTTTAAAAGTTTTAGAACACCATTTCACTTAACAGTTCGGAAAAAAAAAAAGAGAGAGAGAGAGATTTATTTGATGGTTAACTTTGGAACAAGTTATCTGCATTAACTTCCATTGTTTTGGCATAAAGTAGTTCTGTATATTTTACTAACAACAGTGGAGACATGATAAAAGATGTAGGCAGAGAGCCATAAACAGCTCTTGCTGCAATCCATGGTGTTCGTGGAAAGGCATTAATTTTTGGACTTTGATTGGAAGACGGCTCTGTGCTCAGCCACTTGGATTTTGCTAAATACAACCACGAATAAAACCTTGTACCTGAGGAGAACAATTTCTACGGCGGAAAGACCGTTGTAAATCATGTGTAGTATAAACTTGTCCACATGATTGGAATGATATAATGGATATTGGAGTCCCTAACCACCAGCTAATGTTCTTTATGACACTTAAATAAATGACCTGAAAATAAACTAATAACAACACAAAGTCATCTAAACCTGTTCATGTGCATTTCCCAGAAGCATGCTGGGAAAAGACAATGTCTAGTTAGTGCATTTTTTGTGTTTATGTTTCCTCCAGCACATTTTTGCTCCTCCTCAAGACTCACATTAATTCTTCTTTTCTGCCACCTTCCAGAGGTATTTCTCCATCCAGTACTTGCCCAGATCTAAATCATTTAAAACATCAAGAGCTATCACCATGATGGTTATGGAGAAACAAAGCTGGAGCAGGAGCAGACACAGGATTGAAAGACCAAGTATAAGAAAGAATGTTTTAAATTTTTATATTTTTTTATCATTAAGGTGATGAAACACTACACAGGGTGCCCAGAGAAGCTGTGGCTGCCCAGTCCCTGGAAGTGTCCAAGGCCAGGCTGGACAGGGCTTGGAGCAACCTGGGATAGTGGAAGGTGTCCCTGCCCATGGCAGGGGTTGGAAAGAAATGATGTTAAAAGTCCTTTCTAACCCAAACTACTCCATGATTCTATAAAACCACCTAGAGAGCTACCACAGCAGAGAAGAGAGATTTCATTTTCAAGAAGGACACACAATTTTTCTCAATCTTAGCTACAAAACACACCAGTCACGCAAGAAAAATGCCACAACATTCTATTTTAAATATGGGAGAAGTATTTTATTATTATTACTAACTTGTTGCAGTGAACTCTTGCATATGTGAAACTTTCCAGAAAAAGAATTATTATCAAAGCTTACAAATATTAACACTTTCAACAGATTCCACAAGGTACTGTCCCTTATATTTAAAAAAACATGGAAAATGTTTTGCTTTTATGCATAACTCATATATATTTAAACACTGAAAGTTCAGAACAAACAGTGAGGACTTAGATATCTAATTTTAGTATGGCAACTTGTTTTCAAATTTCTTTTATTTATTCAGATTTTTGAGGCTCTCCAACACATTGAACAGTCAATTTTAAAACTTGATGAAGGCTCTACAAAGTGTAAGCCTTGAAAACTTTCTCTTTGTGCATACTGGGTCTAGATGTTTAGTTAAAAAGATGGGTTAAATATTAAACTAAGTTCATATGTAATAAAAATTCAATATACTGAAATTCAGAGTTTCAATCTAAATATTTGCTACTGGAACAGATTCTTTAACTCACAACCTGTATATTACATATTTTCTTTTAATTTATGCCATGAAACCCCACTCTGAAGAAACTCATGTACTTTTCCTTGAAGCAGACATGTGTTTTTCCCACACACATTTCTTTTTTGTACTATGTTGCCATGTTCCACCCTATGTGTTTATTCCCCGCACTTTATTTGCCCTAATGAAAAGTTATTTATGGGGATTGGTTTATTTTCCGTGGCACCAAGAGTCACTTTGTCACCATTTTATTAAAAACAACAAAGGGTCACCATTTTATTAAAAACAACAACAACAATAAAGGATGGAAGGGCCATGATGTCACTGCTCGATGAATAGAAACCACATTAGAAAGATGAACTGGAGAGCTGGTTTAGACCAAATTATACCACTGCCTCAAGAGATTGCAAGGATGGATGGAATAAATAAATAAATCTTTAAAAAGTAATAAAAATTGGCCCTTC